CCTTGGTTTTTTGGGACAGAGTCTTACTATGTAGTCTATGCTGGCCTTGAATTCACTATGTAGTCTAGGATGGCCTAAAATTTATGGCAATATTCCTTCCTCAGCCTCCTGCCTCAGCCTCCACAGTGCTGGGATTATAGGCATGTGCCACCACTCCTGGCTCTCCTTTTTCAAATGGTATTGCAAATGTTTTTCTAAGATGTTAGATTTCAAGTCCCTGTAACACAACTCTTTTTTGTTTTGTTTTGGTTTTGCTTTTGACCAAAGGTCTTGCTCTGTATTTCATGCAGTCCTTCAACTCCTTATGTAGCTGAGGCAGGCCTGGAGCTCACAGCATCCCCTGCCTGTGCCTCTCGAGTGGTGGGAATAAGGGCACACACCACCATACCTGGCTCCTCACATAACTCTTTATGTAGAATGTTAAAATTTTAACATTGGACATCCTTTTGTCTGCCTTTTTGTTTCCTAACATACTGGTTAATGCAGACTGATGATTAACCTGTCTTGTTAGTTATTGAGAGGTCTGAAGGAACCTTGAACTCAAAATTTCCTAGAACTGTTTGTTTCAAAGAATGAGCAAAAGAAGCCATAGATTGCAAACAAACAAGAACTCCCTAAGCATGTTTGGCCTTAATAACAATGGGTGCATTTTTGTTTCTTTGGAATGCAAAGATTTTTTTTTCTTTTATGAAATAAGCTTTATCAAGCTTTAGTTTTGGTTTTTCAGGTCTTTTATTTTAATGTAATACAAAAAGATATTAATGAAGAAAATATAAAAAGAACTCTTGCTCTATGAAAAAATAAACAAAATTCAGAGGTGATGAAGCTAACAATGTCAAAAGGTCCAATAGAATGAATGGATCAGGTAGGTGTAGCAATTAAGTAGAAGGGAAAGAAGTCAAAACTGCTACAGGTAAATAATAAAATGACAGGAATGTCAATAGCTGTCAATTATAACTATTAATGTGAATGGACTCAGTTCACCAATCAAAAGAGATTACTAGGATGGATCCAAAACAAAATCTGGCTGTATGCTATATATGAGAAATACATCTAATACAGAAAGAAATTACAGTCACAGTTCTTTGCATGACTTACAGCTCTTTGAACTCTGGGTAAAGAAATACTGCTGTAGTTTTCAATGAGTGAATTCTTCAAGACTGGCTAGTTTAAATAAAAAGAAACTGATTTAGATTTCAATTTTGAGGCCTCAAATATTTTTCCCAGGTTTATTTTCCCAGTTCTCATTTGGTGTCACAAAGATGTTTTCACATAACGGTTTAAACTCTTTCCTGGGGTTGTAAACTATGGTCAGGATCCTTTTTTCCCCCAGTCTTTTACCATGCATTTTTTTCTACTTTTTATTAGTACATATTGGTTATACAGGTTAATGAATTTTATTTTGGCAGACTGGTACATGTTCATAATGTACTTTAATCCTTTTTCTGTGTCATTTCTCTTACTTCGCCCTTCCCGCTAGTTTTACATTTTGACAGGATTTCAAGTGTGCATATAATGTATTTTGATTATATTCTTGTCTGCTATTCACTGTTTTATGTACCCTCCCCTTCCTGCTTCTTCCCTTCCTTTTGTCTAATAATAATCTTCCATCTACTTTCGTGTCATCTTTATAAGATTCCACAGATTTGGGAGATCATGTGATATTTGTCTTTCTGAGTCTGGATTATTTAACCCAACATGATGTCCAGATACATCCATTTTTCTGCAATTGACGAAATTTTTGTCTTTTTGAGACGGGGTCTCTCTATGCAGTTCAGGCTGGCCTTGAGCTCACTTTGTAGCCCAGGCTGGCCTCAGACTTGTAACCATCCTCCTGTCTCAGGCCACCTGAGCGCTGGAATTACAAGACTGTGCCACCACGCCCAGCTGTAAATTTTCTTTTTTGTATCGTTGAATAAATACCCTGGATTTTGTTTTGTTTTTCTTTTTTTGCCCTTTTTTTGAGACAAGGTCTCACTATGTAGTTCAGGCTGGCCTTGAGCTCACTTTGTAGCCCAGACTGGTCTCAAATTCTCAAGGATCCTCCTGCCTCAGCCTCCAGTGCTGATATTACAGGCATGTGCCACCACGCCCGGCCTTTAGTTTTGTAAATATAATACTTTTTCATTATCCACTCACCTAGATTGGTTCCATGTCTTGGCTATTGTACTGTATCTTCTGCTGCAATAACAAAATGGGTATTCAGGTATCCCTGTGGTATGGTGACTTTAATTTCTTCAGGCATATATTAAGTAATATAGCTGGATCAAATGGTACTTCTATTTTTAGTTTTTTTGAAAACTTCCTTACTGATTTCCAAAGTGACCATATTAATTTACATTCTCACTAGTAGTGTAGAAGGGTTCTTTTTTCCCACATCTTTGTCAGTACTTAGCGTTTTTTGTATTCTTGATAATAGCCATTTTGGCTGAGGTAAGATCGAATCACAACTAGTTTTGATTTACATTTCCTTAATGGCCAGAGGTGTTGAATATTTTTCTATGTACTTACTGGCCTTTTGCTCTTCTTTTGAGAAGTGTCTTCTGAGTCCCTTTGCCTATTTGATTGGGCTACTTGATTTTTTGGGGGATTAATTTTTGAGTTCTTTATATATTCTTAAAGTGTAACTGGCAAAGATTTAGGACCATTAATGTTTAATAGCTCTTTTTATCCACTTAAGACTATGAATTTATTGTGGCTATACCTATATTATGGAAATTTCTTTCTGAGTTCAAACTGTGGGTTCAAATCCTGGATTTTCTTATGCTTATTGTGTATCTTTTCCTTTGACAGTTAAGCAGAGGAAATTAAAAGTATGGACCTTTCTCTATGTACTGAAAACATGTACTAATAAAAAAGAAAGTGTAAAGAGAATTCCCTAAAAACTAAAAAAAAAAATAGGGACTTTATTGGTTTGAAGAGAAGATGAATGAGTTAATTCATGTAGGATACTTAAACCAGTGTCTGTCTGGTAGATTAAAAGGCTCCAGTGTTGGCCATGTCCACTGCTCCCAACTGGAAGGCCAGTTAAATGATTGGTTTATGTATGATACATTTTTCTGGGGAAAATGCAGAATCTACCTGGGGCTACTCACATTCAAGTTTATCATTGGAATTTTGGTTGTTAAACACCTATGAACTGAAATAGATTTCAGCCCCCACCCTGTGGCATGCTTGCGCACGCGCGCACACGCACGCACACACACACCCACACACACCTGTGAGTAAATAGGTTTGTTTGTTTGTTTTTGCAGTGCTGGATGTTGAACCCAGTGCCTTTGCACTGAACTACATCCCAAGCTTTTAAGAATTTTTAAAGACAGGATCTTGTTAAGTCACTGAGTTGCCCAGGCTGGGCTCAAAAGCAAAATCCTCCTGCCTCAGCCTCCCAGAGTGCTGGGAATATAGGCATGTACCACCATGCCCAGCGTAGGAAATAGGTTTTAACTTTCTTCTGCTTCCCCCACGCTCCTTTTTGTGGGAAGGGGGGCACCTGTTTCTGAAAATGTCAAGTGAGGGGCAGTCATCAATATAGCCTCTATTCATTTGCAGATGACCTCTTACTCAGTTTAATTAATAGCTTACCTTTGGTGAATGGTAAGATGTAGTAGTTACATATGTTTTACAGTTATTATGTTATTGAGGGGTACAACCTAATAGCACTGTGTACCTGTGAGCAATCCTTGCTTAGGATATGTTCCATAACCTGGAGCCTCACCTTCGTCTCACTCCTTATTAGGACAAACCATCTCCAAAGATATTTACTGTTTGGTTTCTAGCCAACTGGAAATAATTTAGATGTTCTCTAGTTGTTTTTCTGTGTGTGTTTTTAGTTTTTATTTTGTTTCTTAGATGCTTTTTCCTTGTATTAACTCCAAAAATCATGCAAATTTCTAAGATTTATTATACCTTTTACTTTATTATTTTTATTAGTACATGGTTATAATACATAATGAATACATTGAAGTTTATTATTCTAAACACTAAAATAATGCCTTCTGGACTGTGGGGAATGAGGCAACTACATTTCTGTTCACTCTTAAAACTTTTTTTTTCCAGAATAATCTAAGTCAACCAGACATATAATGGATGTGACTTTAATACAAATGAGTTTCCTTCCAGTCATCCAAAATTTTTTAGCCTATTCATTTGATTGTCTAGACCATTTAATTCCAATTTATTTGATCTACATGAAGGATATACCTTCTAAAAGCATGCTGTATAGTGTTCTGGACTCCCTAGTATCTATTTTCCTTTTATACTTTTTCCCTAATGACTTTTTTGTTTTGTTTTGTTTTGTTTTGTTTAAGACTGGGTCTCACTATGTAGTTCAGGCCTTGAACTCACTACATAGCTCAGGCTGGCCTTAAACTTGCGGAGATCCTCCTGCCTCAGCCTCCCAAGTGCTGGGATTATAGGCATGTGCCACTACATGGGCTTTCCTCATCACTTTGGAAGTTAGCAATTGCTGATTCTTCCTATGGAGGTGGCCTTTACCTCCAACCGCCCCTACTAGGAAAGTGTTGCCTTGGGCCATGCTTTCCTGAAGCAGCCCTTTCATATCTTACAGCAGATGGTGACAACAGAGATTGTAGCATGCTCTTTAGCGTCCCTCTATCGTATACCTTGGGAATGTGTGTCCTCAATAAATACATCATGCATCATTTCAACTCAGTGGTCAATAAGTAACCGAGCCACTTTTCTAACTAGAATGCATGTATGTTGCCAGATAGGAAAAGTGCCATCCTGAAGAAGAAGAAAATGATTACCTGGTCTTCATCAAATGGAAATATTATTGAAGCAGACATTTAGACTGGACCTCCTGTGTTCCCTTTCTATTCCTTGTCTCTTCTTCTCCTACACTCACATGTGTAGAAAATGTTCATTCTGATAAACTTGCTCAAGTGATCTACCAGTTCCTAAGTGGTCAGCAGAAGTGCATAGATCTTGAACCTGACCATCTCTAGCATGAATTGCCGTTATTTCTCCTAATGCTCCAGCCGCTCCGGTTTCTCCTGGCCCTTCCGTTCCAGTTGCCGTTGTTCCCCCTGGCTCCTCAGTTCCAGCTGCTGGTTCTTCCTCAGGTATTGCTGTCCTGGCTACTGCTCACTTCCTACCCTTCCAACTCAGACATGTTGGGGGAAATTGCTGCTACCAGATCTAGATCTGTCACTTCTTTTGATTGTTCTCAGAAATTACCCACACAAGGGACTGAGTCTTCTGGCTTGGGGTCTTCCCTTTGGCTTTTGGTCTCTTATTCTGCAAGTCTAATTCTGCTATCTTAGCTTCTTTAATGAGTTTTCTAATTTTTTTGTTCTTAATTCAATTAATTTTGAACATTTGAATTGCTTGGTAGTCTGTCAACAACTGACATTTTTATCTTTAGCAGTTTTTACTAATTCATTCCATGTACTGTAATTAACTTAAAGTCTTTAGCTATGAAAACAAAGTAAATATTTTAATAACCTTCTGTGATCATGGGATAGTGGGAAGAGGAGGGTTTTAGAGATCCCAGAGTACTTCCTTTTATATTTAGGAAAATATAAGCCAGGAAGGGTAAAATGACTTGCCTAGGTCATAAAGCTTGTTGAAGGCAAAGCCAAATGTAAAACTATGGTTTCCACATCTAGTGTTTTGATTGTTTGTGGTGAAGGCTTAACTCTGTGGATAGCTATTGTTAGATGTAACTGCAAGCTTTCAATTGTGGAGAAAAGAAGTTAATAGAGTCACAGAGCCACGTGGACTCTGGGAGCCTGCTAATCATCAGTTTGTTTAGTTTTACTTTTTTTTCAATAAATAGTTGAAACACATCTAGTATCTTAAAGAATATGCCTTACAAAAGAGATTCTCAAGTTTTAATATTATATTAGATAACTTGGAATACTTTTCACAGAAGTACAGAGGTTTAGCCCTTGCCTAGGCCTGTAACCAGAATCCTACAAGGCAGGGCCTGGATATGTGATTTTAAAGTTTTCCTGGTGGTTCTGGTATGATTTCTAGGTAAGGCCCAGTGCTATGGAGGCTGGCAGTATTTCCTAAAGTGGAACGCTTATTTAAAAGGTGATTTATGGGCTCTTCCCCGGACCTACTATCTCAGACTTTTGGGAAATGTAATTCATCTTAAAGCCTTGTAGTGAATGCTTGTCAATTAAAATGTGAGGAAAGCTTCATGTAGAAGGTTTAAGACATTAAACAAAAAGCCTGGAGCAGTGACTTTTCAAGTGTGTTTGTTCATGTTCCTTGATAAAAAATACATATATTTTACTTTTTTAACTTAGCAAACCCACATAACTAAGACAAGTTTCTTAAATCAGTATTTCTCTTAAGAGCTTGTTGGTAGGTTCTAGCCAGGGAGCAGCTACGTGTATACCCATGACTGAGGAATGGTCCTCCTCTATTGGGGGTGCACATCCTCTTCGACCGAGCACACAGCTTCGGGAGGGACACACATGGAGGGTGAGGGAGGAAGGGGACACCTGCCTAGCCAACCAGTTCAGCTGAATCAACCCTGCTGATCAGTGGGGTGACAGATGTCACAGCTAGATCGCCCTCACGTTCAGCAATATTTATCTTACCAAGTACACTGAACTTTTAACATTTACCATTCCAATATGTTCTTTTTTTGTCTTTTGAGATAGGGTCTTGCTATGCAGTTCAGGCTAGTTTTGAGCTCACTTTGTAGCCCAGGCTGGTCGTGAACTTGCAGTGGTCCTCCTGCCTCAGCCTTCCAAGTGGTGGGATTATAGGCGTGCACCACTGTGGCCGGCTTTCCAATATATTCTATTTCATTTGGTAAAATAGGTCATTAGAACTCACTAAATTGAGTTTTAAACTCATACCTCACTGTAGTTTGAAACACTGAGCACTAGAAAGTGCTTGTTCATTCAACCTATCACAGATTTAAAACTTCTCTCTCAAATTGTTCTACTTTTTTCAGTTATTCCTGTTAAGCCAATAACTCCTGCTAAGGTTGCTTGACTATAAGGAAGGTCTACTTTTGTCACAGTCGTATGGTACTGCCACTGTGTAAAAAGTGGATTCCCTGGTTCCCTGGGCATGGGAGATCTTGCCACCTCTGTAATGATGTCACTAATGGCTTCTATCAGTCACAGGGTAAATATTAGAAAACATAACTCTTAACCCATTGAAGAAAAAAGGAAAGGAATTTTTTTGTGTGTGTAGTGCCACCAGCCACCCAAGAGTTGCTTAGTTTAAATGCTATTTGATTCTGGGCTTGGACAGTGTCACCTGGCTCTCCCACAAATTGGTCTTTTCTGGGATAGTTTCTGATGTGGTAAATTCAGATCTCCCTTCAGCAGGGAAGACCTAAGTCACACACTGCCAGGCTTAGCTGAGAAGAGGAACTATTGTAGACCAAGGATACATCTCACTTGGGCTGTTTGACCACATATTCTCTCCTGAATCAGCAACCACGGGAGTCCAGATCCAATACAGGAGCTGGAGAAAGAGAGTGAAATCTCAGGCACACCGCACGCTGAGATGGAGAGTTGGCTTCCTAAAGAGAATTTGAGATACACCTTCCAGATGTAAGAGGAGTATATGTTGGACAACAAATGCAGATATCATCTAAGGGCCATATATGTTCATGGTCTTCTTTTCTTCCTATTTTTTTTTTTTTTTTGGCTATAATGAGTCTTTTTCTTGCCATGTTTTATACCTATGGAAAATAGTGTTTCCTGAAGTTCTCGATTTAAATCTAATGGGAAATAGCCTCTGTCAAAATCAAGCAACAGAGCCCTCAAGGGAAATAATAGTTTAAATAGTTAGAATTGATTAAAATTCATTACAGGAAAGAATTAATTTTAAATGAAGAGAGCAGAATAATGTAGTTAAGGGTGAACCAAACTAGACAATAATTGTAAGCATTCAAATGTGTAGCAGGCAGGCCTGTATTATCATCCTTGGAGTCCTTTAAATAGACTGTGGGTCTGAGTTTTTTCAGGAGGCATCTGAGCACAGGCAGTGTCCTAAAAATATCAAATGACCATGGATAGATCAAATGTTGTTAAAATAAAATGCAAAAATTAAGTCTCACAAATAAAGCTCAGTGGATTGATATTGGTTGCTTCTCAGAATTGCTTTCTGTACTATTTAATAATTTCTCTTGCTTAAGCCATCTGTCATGAAGGAAGACATACTTTCTAGTAAGGGCAATCTAGTAATGTTGATCTGCTAAAATGGAGATTTTTCTTCCTATAATACAGCATAGAAAATGGTGACTTTTAAAAATACTTCTTGGCTTTTAGGTCTAGTACACTTTGAAAGATTTTAATTTAAATAAGCATTTCATACTTACAAAACTAAATATTTTCTTCCTTCAGTAATAAGGTTAGGTCTTATGTCATTGTCAGAGAGTGCTCCCAAGTTTTCTAAAATATAGTTTATTCTGGCCTCTGAATTTTTGCACTGCCAATCAGCCTGCCTACCTCTTAGGTCTTCTTGGTACTTGAATATGCTTTGAAGATCCATATTCTATATATTTTCATAGTTGTTTTTCCTATTAGAAAAACACAGAAAGTAAGAGCACGAAGGTTTGTATTGTTTCCTAACATGGTCTGTAATTTTGCATAAAAGCTTTAAATTCTCCCTATAAATTTATTCTCTTCTAACAATATCCCCATTCATTTCTAATTTTCTAATTTCTGTCTTGTAAAAGCTACAGCGTTTTAATTGCTTATGGAAACTAATCAGTCTCCTATCCTTGACAGTGATTTCATTAAGTTCTTATTTTTATGAAGTTTTTCATATATATTATTAATTATATTTTGGTCTATAGTGTGGCTTGATCTAAGAACCCAGTCTACCGTTGAGAATCTTAGTAAAAGAATTCCAGGAAATAATAACTTTGTCAAGGTAAGAGATCTCTTCAAAAGTATACTAAAGAATGTTTGTTTGAAAAAGAAGTTTACAGATTTCACTAAAAAGACTATCTGGGCCTTACATTTGTGGCAGAATGGTTGTTTGATACAGTGTGTAGAATATTTCCTGCAGACAACTGAGGCCTAATCAAGCCTTTACCTTCCTGTCTTTCTCTTTCTGTGGTAGATTGGAGTAGTAATACTTTTAAAGTTGACAGGCTGGAGGGGATTAAACTACTTTTCAGTGGTTTAAACCATACTCCGCAAAGGGTGCTTTCTATAAGTTAAAGCAGTGCATCCCACTGTTTGCTATTGCCCACTGAAAAATGTTCTGGATGCTTTTGAGACTTTAAGCATCTGAGTTCAGGAACAGAGAGAAAGTGTATCTTTGAGCCCTTTATTGAATAGCCCTTCTAATTTCTTCATTTGAAGAGAGCTAATAAAAATTACCTAATTTTCAGTCTTTATATAGATCTCTCTTCAGATAAATGAATGGAGAGATAATTTTGGAAATAAAGCATTTTTCTTAGCAAGGTCAAGGCCAGGTTCTTGTATCCAAAGAGAAGTTCCCTTTTGGTGTTTGTTTGCTTTATCTCCTTTTTATGCTTTTGGTATTTTCTTTTGGATCCTTTTGGTATTTTTCGGTTCTAGGATTCAAATCCCATTAATTGCAGCAATCTCGTAAACCATTCCCTGTCTCCTCCCCCTACCCAAGTAATTTCAGGCTTGTCCTGAGTAAACTCTTACCCGTTTCATGTTCTGTTCTTTTCTCATCCTCCTTAACTCGAGCTGTCTGTTGCTTCAGGGATGCACGCTCTTCTCCCAAATGCCACTTAAAGCAACTTTTACACCTTATACCTGCACCTTAAGCATAAGTGATTGTGTACCACCTCCCTGCAGCCTTTATGGATCTTCCCAGGGCATCCTGTGGAATAACTCGGGTCCTTCAAGTCAAATAATATTTCTGTTAACTTATTTTCTTCCATTATTTCTGAGCATTGAGTCTTTTTTCCCCTAGGAGAACTAGAAAATTTTGAGTCAAGATTCTTAATTTACAGATCTCATTTAAATATTAAATACTCTGCTTTGAATTTTCTTTTAAGACATTTGATTGAGACAAGAAGGAGAAAGATTTCACTTTCTGTCATTAGGTGATAAATGAGAATAGATTTCAGAGGAAGGAAACAGTAGTTGTATTATTTTCATGTATGTGTTCTTTTAACCACTTCACCTTATTTTTAGTTTTCTTGTTGTGCTGAAGCTTGAACCCAGGGCCTGAATGCATGCTAGGCAAGTGCCTTTCCACTGAAATACAGCTCCAGACATGTTTATTTAATTTAAAAATTTGAGACAGCATCTTGCTAAACTGCCCAGGCTGGCCTCAGATGTGCAATCCTCCTGCCTTAGCTTCCTGTAGTAGTTGAGGTTACACACAGGAGTACAGCAGCACACTGGGCTTAACTACTTAGCTTTAACTAGGCTTTATACGTAAACGACATTTAGTATGCTAACAGAAATAAGAGCTGGGCCTCACCCATTCTCAAAGATTGATAAGCCCATACATGTTTTATTTCTACTCTTTAGCCTTTATTCCATCCAAATTCCTTTTGTTTTATGTATTTGCTGATACTAGCCACATGCTTCCTTAGGGCAACTCTGTGGCTTTAATCCGGCATGTCTTTGAGCTCTACTTTAGTCTCTGCCTGTATTAATGTGTTATTTGAATATGTGTTTGTGTGTAGTGGTCATTAATTAGTTTATGATTTGACATACTCTCTGTTAATAGCTTATCAATTTCATGAAATATAAACTGGGAGTTTGGGGCTAAGTTCTACATATAGTAGTAATTGATTGCAAAAGTTAACATTACCATTGTACTACACCATTAGCACACCACAGGATGTTGTATCATTTAATTTTCTCTTCACATTGTTATGTGGATGCTCTTTGAACTGCAAACATAATTACTCTGATACTTGTTCATGAACATGTCATGAGGCAGGAATACAGTGCCATTCATAATACTATGGGATTGCCTTTAGGACCATTAACTGTTATATGATATTTTTTCTTGAATTCTTTGGTTTGGAGATTTGTTTTTCAACTGTTACATATTTAATTTGCTGACTGAACTCCCTGTTTTAGTCCAAGACAGGCCTTCCACTTAGCACTTACTTCAGTGCAGTGAAACTTCGCTGGCTCCTCGATAATGTGAGAAAAGTCCAAAAGGCTGTTGAAGAAAATAGAGCTCTTTTTGGGACTATTGATTCATGGCTTATTTGGGTATGTTTATATATAATGTATGTAGAATTCTGGAGAACGTATGGAGAACTTTTTCTGAAATTGCTTGCACTTCCTTGCCTGACATTTTCTGCCAGTAATTCAAACTTTAAGTAGAAGCATTATTGAGGAAAACCTCTCAAAAGACAGCAGAATATCACAGTCTTCCTTTGAGAAGCACTTTTGCCTACTTCTGCCTTTATTATTGAAACTGGAGGATAATTACCAACAACTAGACCTCATATTTACTGTTATCTTTCGGATAATTTATTTTGCCTTTCTCATCCACTTCTTCCCCATGAGCCACTTCTTAGAAGTAACTACTTAACATGATAAAAGACCTAGGCTGCTTTTATCATTTACTTTATTTCTTTTTTTTTTGGTTTTTCTCTGGTACCGGGAACCGAACTCACGACCTTGCGCTTGCCAGGCAGGCGCTTTGCCGCTGAGCTAAATCCCCAGCCCCTTATCATTTACTTTAAACATTAGACAATTGTCTCTTGTATATTCAAGCCATAATATGAAACTAAAAAATAGAAATTTCTTTTTTTCTGTTAAATAGTTTTTTTTGCCTAAGCTAAACATTGATGAGTAAAATTTAACTTTTCAAATATTTCCAAGATATATCTTAAAAGGAAATGTTCTGTGGTTTTTCTGTCTCTCTCTTTCTGTTATTTTTATTATGGGCATTTTTGCTGGGCATGGTGGTGCATGCCTGTAATCCCAGCACTCAAGAGGCTGAGGCAGGAGGATCCTTGCGAGTTCGAGGTCAACCTAGGCTACAAAGGGAGCTCAAGGCCAGCCTGAACTGTAGAGCGAGACCCTGTCTCAAAAAAAAAAAAAAAAAAAAGGACAAAAAATTAAACTATTATGGGCATTTTCCAGTGTTTCTAAGTATAGATGGAATAGTGTAATAAAGATCGCAAGCAGTGAGCCGGGTGCAGTAATCATCAGCCTATGGGCCAATCTTTTTTCAACTGTACTCATGGGCTCTTTCCATAGATCCTTTTATTTGATTTGATTTGATCTATTTATTTGTCTTTTTGACAAATAAATAATCTATTTATTTGCTTTGTAGCCCAGGCTGGCCTCAAATTTGCAAGGACCCTCCTGCCTCAGCCTCTTGAGTGCTGGGATCACAAGCGTGCGCCACCACACCTGGCTAGTTTCACTTATTTGTGTTAATATAGCTACTAGAAAACTTTACATTTGTACCTCACATTTTATTTCTATTAGAAATTGCTGAAAATTGGAAAACTAAATAATTTAAATGTTCTATTCTTCTGCTTTGTGTATTCTGAACTGTTTATGGCCCTTAACAATATGTAAGTTAAATTGCAAAAAGTAAAAGTTGAACCGCTCCTTTTTTATTCTGTCTAGAGTTTAACAGGAGGAGTCAGTGGAGGGGTTCACTGCACGGATGTAACAAATGCAAGCAGGACAATGCTTTTCAACATTCATTCTTTGGAATGGGATAAAGAGCTCTGCGAGTGAGTTGGGTTTTGTACTAAGTATAGCTTTCCCTGTACATTATTTATTTGTAAACTAAATCTTACTATTTTCAGATGTCACTACAGTCCCAAAATTTAATTGTTGATATTTCAACTATATACACTTCTTTTATAGTTGTTTTAAATATAGACTGTTAATGTATATGTAATAAACGGGACAAATTAATGCTCATGGCTGAAAGTACTTTGATTTCCACGTGTGCTTTTAAATTTTGATTGACTTGATTCCATAAAATTAGAATGTTAACTATCCAAGCATCTATGTTCTGCTGATTCCTATAGTTACTATTTTTAACTGTGCTCAAATGCATCCATTTTCTAGTTATTAACATTTTTAGCTTTGATTACATATAAATGTTTCTTGATGTTTATTTAGAATAGTGTTATATACCGAAACTTAACTCTTTTTTTTTTTTTTTTTTTTTTTTTTTTCAGATTTTTTGGTATTCCAATGGAAATTCTTCCCAATGTCCGGAGTTCGTCTGAGATCTATGGCTTAATGGTAAAAAAAAAAAAAAAAAAAATTAGGGGTAGAGCACTTTTACAAATCTTTACTATTCTGTTATGTTTTGTAGTTTGGGATTTGTGATCGTCTATAAATGTTTCTAGTATATAAAATAAGAATTTAGTATTATTTTAGTATTTTAACTAAAATCCTTAGACTACTTAACAATTGATTTTATAGTTATTTGAAGTATTAACAGGATAACTTACCTCTGAACAGTGTGGGAATGTGTGAGCAAGTTTATTCTTTAAACACAAACAGTTGTCTTTGTAGCTGTGATGTTTGCCTTTATTAGATCAGTGACTGCTCACATTTTAATGGTATTATTTTTCCTGTTGAATCTCTAATTGGCACACCATTGTCAGCCTAAGAAATTTAGCAAAGAAACCAAAAGCAAAGTCTATTTCAGAATTGGGACGGCTAATTAGATTGATTTCCATAATGGATATTTTTATTACTGCTTTATTGAAACCCAGGAAAATAATAGTTTCAGTAAAAAAGTATGCTCAGCATCACTGAGAGTATGTAGTCAACTGTCAGAAATGAAAACCGCTAGGGCTGGGGATTTAGCTCAGCGGCAAAAGTGCCTGCCTGGCAAGCGCAAGGTCGTGAGTTCGGTTCCCGGTACCAGAGAAAAACCAAAAAATGAAAACCCCTAGGAGCATTGGAACACAAAAATCTGGAATTTATGATAACATTGAAGAATATGTTCAATATAAATTATAAAATATTGCATATACATTTCATAAAAATATTTTGGAAACTCCACTTTTAGTTTAGTAATAATAGTTAAACACTAAGTCTTCTAGATGAAATTTTTAAGTTTCTTTTGTACTAAAGCTTTATAAAACAACGTGGAATTTCATAAAGTAGGTGCAGTCACTGCTTATGTATAATAATAAAATTGCTTTTGATAATTTCAGAGCTGTCACAAATTGACTTGGTTTAGAGAAAAAGAACTATTCTTGAGAAATAGTTTCAGAGAATGATTGAAGAATCTGGCCTAGCTTTCTCTTGAATTTAAAATATTATGCTTCTGTTCCCCCTTTTCCTCCTTGCTGACTATAGAAAATCTCTCATAGCCTGGTGAGTAGGTTGCCCACCAATTGTGCCATCCATTCATTTGGAAAAGATACGGTGCATTTCCATTCACTTTTAGACAAGCAGAAATCCATTTACTAAAGAGATAAATCTAGAATTTTCATGACCCTCCAAATCTTGTTTGCTAATTTTTTTAAGCATTCCACAAGACTGAGAGTGATGTTTCTAAAATAACAGACTAGGTAATTATCTAGAATGAGAGATTCTGATGTTACCTGTTACAAAGTGGTTATGATGTAATTTGGGCTGTAGATTAACAGGGAAACTAGATGAGTTTTTAAATGACCTAAACATCTGTCTTAAATGTACATCGGCCAATCTTTCAGACAAGTTAGTTGGAAATGCACTGTCTCTTTTTCTGCATGCTTCATCAGAGGATGCTCCAGGAATCCTCCAGAGGCCCCCTCCTCCATGAAGAAAAGTAGTGCCTTAAACTTCACATGTCTGACTGAACACACAGTAGATCTTGCTGAGAGTCTGATAATTGCTAAAGTATAAGAAAATTTCTTAGAGTATTTAAATATATCAAGATATAAAATCCTGAGTATGTAGTTCAATGGCAGAGTGCTTGCCTAGCACGTACAAGGCCTTGGGTTCAAGTGCCAGTATTATAAAACAAACAAACAAACAAAAGAAGCTTCTGGGTTTCCTATTCATTCACTTTAAGAGTTTTTTGTAATTCAGTCTTTACTTAAAAGTATGAAAGAAACAAAATAATACTGAGCCGGGCGTGGTGCTGCATGCCTGTAATCCCAGCACTTGGGAGGCTGAAGCAGGAGAATTGTTGCGAGTTTGAGGCCAGCCTGGGCTACAAAGTGAGCTCAAGGCCAGCCTGAACTGCATAGCTAGACTCTATGAAACTATTGATAAAAAGACAAAAATAAATTAAAATAAATTAAAATAAAATAATGAAGTACCTGAAACTATTTCTCAAAATTTTCTATTTTTGTAAAGGGTCTCTACATGTATGCTCTTATTTGATTATCATCATAGCTAGATGATGCAAATTCTACTTTTACCTTTACTTTAACAAGGGTGTCTAAAGCTCCATGGGCCCTGGAGACTTGTTCACAAATACCAGGCAGAGGAGCCCAAAGCTTTAATTTGATGTTCTTCTTGCTATGTCACCCTTATTTGGGGATTATATGTCTTAATCCCCCTAATTCCTTAATACTAGTAAAAATTGCTTTGTTAGAGGTTATTTTTGTGGTTGCTGCTTATTTTGTTTTATGTAGTACTGGAGATTGAACCCAAGGCTCTGCACATGCTGAGCAAGAGCCCTGCCACTGAGCTACACCCCCAGACTTAGGGTATGTTTTTTTTTTAATTCAGTTTATAAATTACACAATCAGCTACTTAAATCTCATTTTTCTTCCTAAAATGTTAGCCATATTGATCAGAACAAAAACTGTCATTCATGACATTAATTAGCTGTTGCTTACTTAGATTCAAAGCATGATGTTTGCTGTGAACAAATATTCAATACATGAACACTCTTGTTTTTAATTAAGAGCAACTTGACTAAAAAGAAGAGTTGATAAATTACAGCCTTCCAAAAAATAAATTCCATGCTGGCTTGCTAGCTGTATAAAGGGTATGTTGGTCATTTCATTTCGCAAGTAAGTTAGTTGAGGTGTGGAGAGGTTTCAGCAGCCTGCTTGTGGCCTAACACTAACTAACCAGAAGTAGAGTCCATGTCTCCCAACTCCCAGTCCGGTGTCTCATGTTCATTTTTCAACATCCCATCTCTTCTTGTCATTCTAGGAATACTTCTAGTGTCCGTCTCTGTACCACTCATGTAGTTGAAACACTTGCTTTGTCTTGTCTGCCCACGTCCTCTGGCATGTTGCCCTTTGTGTTCATTGCCGTCGGTTATATTATTAGAGACAATGTTTGTGACGGTTAATCTTTTCTTACAATTTTTAATAGAAAGCTGGGGCCTTGGAAGGTGTGCCGATATCTGGGGTAAGTTTAATCACCAAATTTCTCCCTTCCACTTCCTTATCCCTACCCCCTGGTGTATCTTTCCTCCTCTACCTTAATCAATTGGTCCCTTCTTAAACTAGAAAGGATAAATAAGAAACAGCAAAATGGACTGATTTTTGTTCTCATGTGAAATAGTGTGGGTGGGTCATTGAGGGTTTTTTATTTTATTTTAAAGAGACCAAAAAAAAAAAAAAAAGATACAGAATTATATTTTTTTCTTTTTCTTTTCTTTTATTTTGGCTACTGGGAATCAAACTCAAGACCTCAAGCCTGCAAGGCAGGGGCTTATGCAGCTGAGCTATATCCCGAGCCTGATACAGAATTTCAAAACAAGATGATAGGATATTAACAGTTGAGGGTCTTTGGAAGAAATCAATTCTCACGTCCTCTTCCCATACCTGTTATCTTGTAGGGGTAAGAACAAATGGGAAAATTGGCCAAATGGACAAAACATAAGGATATTTCATTCCTTGATAAATAAGAAAACTCCTTATTCAAAGGAAATGAGTAATGTTGTCATTCATATTTTCAGTGTTTGGGGGACCAGTCCGCTGCTTTGGTGGGACAAATGTGCTTCCAGGATGGACAAGCCAAAAACACGTAAGTTTAAGAAGCAGACCTCAAAATCAATGCTGTTTTATGTGTTTCTCCCCTTTGGTGCTTTGATAGAAAGAAAGGTTTTGAATTTGAACTAAGCCAAAAAATCAGTAGATTAATTGTACCAATATGAATATACATTTTTTTACTCTGTTTAAAAAAATCTCCTTTAAGTGTATCGCACCATATGTAAACACACAGATGCAGCTTGTAAAGATCTCAGTTTATAAGATTCATAGCCTTTTTCACCCCAGTAATTATATTTTGGTTCAAAGAATTATGCCTTTTTTGAAGAGACTGGTGGGGTGGGCTAGGAGGGGGGCTAGGAGGAGGGGGGCTAGGACAAGGTGAACAAGATGCATTATGTGAAACACAGTTTTAGCATGTTATTTCTGTCCAAGTTTTTCTCACCATAACACTGAAGTCATATTTTTATTGGATTTTCAAGATTGTTTCTTGGCTTTGTTCTCTTTTATTTTTTATTCATTTGTTAATTTTATGGTATTGCGAACTGAACCCAGGGAGCACCAAACTATATCCCCAGCCTTTTTTATTTTTTATTTTTTTATTTTGAGATAGGGTCTCGATAAGTTGCCAGGGTGGCCTTGAACTTGAAATCCTCTTCCCTTAGGGTCCTGAGTAGCTGAGATTTATGGGCATGGGCCACCATACTTTCATTGCTGAAACCAGCCTGGGCTACAAACTGAGCTCAAGGCCAACCTGAACTGCATAGTGAGACCCTGTCTTAAAAAGACAAAAAAGAAAGAGAGAGATTGCAGAGACTGAGAACTGAAAACAGACCATTGTATGCAGAATGGTCTTTAGACCATTAGAATAGGTCTTTATTTAATGACCCTAGGAATGAAGCCGTAGACCAGAGCTCAGGATGGGAGCCAAGTTTCGAGTGGTAAAAGGAGTTGTGAGTAGGTATAAAATAGAGACAGCAAGATGGAACATGCTTCACAGAAATGCAACCATCCAGGAACGATGAGAGAAGTACATAGTGGGTGAGGGTCACAGAATCATGCAACATTTTGGGAATTTCTGTTTTGTTTTGAAGTTATAAGACCAGAGAATGTTTCCTTGGAGTCTCAGGAGAGAACAGTGGATGTTATAAATGGGAGATAACTGATGAGCAGAATGAAGTCCTAAGAGGTTGGAGAAATTGGGATTGAGCACTTAGTTAAATCTTTCCCAACAGGGAGAAAATGACAGGCAGCTCAGAGTTCAGTGGAAAGCCTATCTCTGTTTCACCATGAGGAAAAACACAAATACCTCAATTTTACTTTTAGTTTAGCTTGTAACTTCCAATCATTCTAAAGTGAACCTGTATTATTTGGACATTAGATTTTGTTTTTCAAAAGAGAACCTAAGGTAGCTACCTCTTCTCCCCAGAGGTACTTACTAGGTGTAAAAAAGTCTTCTACCTTCTTCCTAGCTTTACCTAACCCTGTCCCTACAAATCATCGTTAGCACACATCTCCAAACTGCTCAGTCCGAATCTAATAGCTATGAAGGTTAGCAAGCAGCCTTTACCTCTGCAGAAGGTAGAGGAGTCAGACCTGTTTGTGGAACGTTTGAACACAGCAACCTGTTGAGACAGGTTAGGTAGGCCACATAACTGCTGAAAGTTCCATATATGCTTAATGACTGGGAAGATGGAATAATATAACTTAAAAGGAAAATAGTCTTTGAAAACCATAGTCTTAAAGATAGCAAAGAATTCTCTTTTTACGTTAATGGGAGTCCGTACTTAACTAAATACATTCACTTAAGAATTCACTTTAAGTGCCTTGAGCCTTCTTAACAATTTTGTACTTTAAAACTGGTACATAATCACTCATTGTACTGCTTATATGGGTGCTAATTTAGTACAATTTCTCCTTGAAAAAGCATGCAATGATCATTAATTTTCATTTTATGAATATTTATTTAGAGAGATTAACTTGAAACTTAGCTTTGCTAATGCCATGGTGGTAAAAGGTATAGTGATTTATATGTTTTAGTTTGTAGATGTAATATTTGTACCTTGTGCTGTTTGACAAGTGTCTTTATGAACTTCAGTGTTCATTAGTCGTGTGATCCCTGAATGTGTCATTTCTTCATCAAGCAGTCCAGGAATCTTACCTTAGTGAGGGCAGGTAGACTCATCTTAGGCTAATAACCCTTATTCCGAACAATGGTGCCTAAAGAAAATGTTTCTCAGAAAAAAAAAAAAAAATCCTATCTTTGGTTCGCTTTTGTTGCAGAAGAAAAATGCAACTGATGTGATCTGTTGACTTAGTGCTGACAGGTAGTAGCTTCTGCTAAGATCCTTCTGCTAGCCCCTGAATTCCTTGTCCTATCTGCTGGGATGTCACCAGCACAGTTCTAACTGTGGTTGCACAGAGCACAGCAGCAAGCATGTGGGAGGGAATCCTAAACTCGGAGACTGTAGTAGCCTTCTTATCTCAACTCCATTGAAAACTGTTTCTCTGTGACCATTTCTGGTATCAGTTTAGAACACTTATCTGCCTGGAGCAAGTCAAAACCACTCATTGGTGTCCAAGTGGCAGACTTTATTGCAGAGTCCAAAGCTTATACTTTGGATAAGTATGTCAAACAGCACAAGGTACAAATACTACATCTACAAACTAAAACATACAAATCACTATATCTGTACTTATGATAAGACTTCCACAAAATAAGCTCATTTATTCTGTATCAACCTGTTACATTACAGCTCTGATTATCCCACTGTATCCTGCAAGGAGAATAGGAAAGGTGGACTTTAAGTAGCTTTTTTTCCCCTATGCCACTTTTGCTCCAGCTTTTCAGCTCTAGTCTCTCATACTCTGTGTCTAGCCTAGCCTCCCTACCCTGCCTGAAGACAGTAGTAGTTTGTAGTTTATAAACGGTAGACCTAGGCTCACCAGGTCCATTGGTGAATGGCTGTTAGTCATGATGTTTCACTCCATGTGAATTAGTAGTAGCGTAACTATGACTGAACATAGAATTTGTTGTAATTTAGTAAACACAGTCATGGGCTGTCACTGACTAAATGCTAAAGTAAGTAGTATAGCTGAATTTTGTTCTCATTAAGATTGCACTAAGTACATTTTCTTCTACACTGATATTTTTTTTTATTTTAAAGATAAAAGGAGGGAAACATTAACAGACATACAACATTTTACAACATATCACAAGCACAATACAGACAATACAGAGTTACAAACAAAGTGGTAGGGAATTAACAATGGTGGTTGTATTACATATTGATATCTTCAAAGTGGCTGATCTTTGAAACATTCTATAAAGAGTAAAGTTGTCTAACATGAGTGTAATGACTTTTATTGTAGTATTATGTCAGTTTATGTCATTTATTTTATTTAATGTTTCATTTTTTGCTTTAATAAAATTGTCATACTGTTCCTTCTTCCTTCCACTTGTAGGTATGGAACAGGATGTTTCCTACTCTGCAATACAGGACGTAAGGTTGGTTTGTGTTTTAAATTAAAAGATTGAAAATCTTCAAATTTATATAACGAATACTTGAATATAATTTACTATTCAGTGACTTTTGCATAACTTAAAGCTTTTGCAAAATCTTGATTAGGGTTTAGCATCTATAAAATGATGGAAAAAAATCATTAAATTTGAATTACTCTAGTAAGAACCATTTTATGTTCCTTGAGTTTTATATGTTTGTTTTTAATTGTTTTGATGGGAAATCTCGACTATGGTCTCATCCCATTTTTAATGCAGATCTGATTTGGAGGAATTAATTTTTGCACAGCCTGTGCCTGTTCTTAATATTCATAATTTTGAGTAAGATTCTTAAAATTGATTTATTGATTTAATTACTTTGTGTCTGTGTCATTTTAGCTTATAAATTTTCTCATGCTATTTTTTCATTCTCTCCACAATGAAATCTTTTTTTTTCTTTTCTACAGTGTGTATTTTCTGAACATGGCCTTCTAACCACAGTGGCTTACAAACTTGGCAGAGACAAACCAGTATATTATGCATTAGAGGTAAGTTCTTTTCAGCCAGTGAATGAGAGGACCTTTAGAGCTATGAAAATAGGACTATTATGTAGCACCTTTTATGGTAAATTTCAGTGTATTACACTACATTTAAAAAATTTTTGTTTTGACCTTTGATAGAATGGAAAGAATGTGGGTCTGAACTAGGGTCAGAACCCTAATAACTTGCTCCCTAACATTTCTTCAGTTTTACATTCTGTGTTTTCATAACTAAAATGCTGCAATGTTCCACAGAAAGCCACTGGGCAGAGAAAGGCAGAACAACTCTATTTTTCTTCCATTAAAATTTTATGTAACACTTTGATATTAGAAAGAAAGTGAAGAATTTATCCCATTTATCACTGGAAATGTTTGTCTCAAACATGTTTGTAGCCGGGTGTGGTGGCCCACGCCTATAATCCCCACACTCGGGAGGCTGAGGCAGGAGGATTGTTGTGAGTTCGAGGCCAACCTGGGCTACAAAGTGAGCTCAAGGCCAGCCTGAACTGCATAGGAAGACCCTGTCTCAAAGAGACAAAAAAAATGTTTGTAAATTATAGTAGGATTACATCAGCATAAGTCTGTAGGATGTGGTAAGTTTGTATGAGAAACAGTTGAAACATATTTATACAGTCAAAGACAACATTCTTTGAGCATTTCTATATAGTTAATTTTGGGAATGGCTGCCTTGTAAGATACAAGTATGCAGATGATCTGAAAACTTATTAAGGCTCTTTTTCTAGATAACCTGGTAATAATTTGGTCAAAGGTTTAAATTTTTAGTTACAGTTAAAACATTTTCTTAGTTGTTAGGCCTAGAGCATGAAAAATACTTGGTTTTCTGCTCTGTCCTCCATAGTCAGCCTAATCTTCCCCAAACTCAGGCTCTTTTGTTTGGAAAGAAGCATTTGTGAAATATTTACTCTATGCATTAAAAGTATCTTAATATTTCTCAGAACTAAAAATCATATGAGCCTTCTCTCCCTCTCTCTCGCCCCGGATGGAGTGTGCTCAGCACAGCACTAGGCACTTCAAACATGCACTTAATCAGTGTTACCAACAATGACAATAGTAGTAGCAAGATGCTCTTGTTTTCCCTTGCACAGAAGACAATCAGCAGTTAGTTCATAGATACTTTAGATCTGGCAAAGGCCTCAGGTACAAGGATCGCCTAGTCTTACCTTCTTACCAGGTAGGAGAGCTGTCTTTTTTCTTCACCAGTAGCCGTTCAACTTCTGTTGGGAGAAAGCACCCAAAACTGCTTCTTAATAATGCCTCCAGGGGTGAGCCTGGTCCACTGTCCAGAGTACGGAGGCTGCCATCAGTTTGGGTCTTCTTCCCCCAGGAAAACTGCCCCAGTGCCCTATCAATCTCGTACTTTCTAGATGCTTGGTAATTTTGAGGTACCTTTATTAGATGTATTCCAGTTCACCAGTGTCTTCCTTAACAGAATGTAATATTCCATATGTAATCTGACCTGTGCTCAGTAGTGTGATTTGTGCCCCTCTTGCTGTAAGTGCTACTCTAGCCTGAGAGTTCATTAATTTAGTCTAATAATCCCTTCCTACCACTGGCTCCAAGAGCATGTACTAGAATACCAATCTCTCTTTCTCTCTCTCTCTCTCAAATGAATCATTGTCAAACTGAGTCTACTCCATTGTGTATTTGTGTACATGATTTGTTTGTTAATCTAAATTAAGGTTTCTGTTTCTTCCTGTTTAATTTTATGATAGTGATTTAAGCATATTTTGATATAGTCTGAATTTGCTTTCATTCTGTGCCCTGCATTACTCTTCTAGTTTTGTCTCATCTCAAGACTTAACAAGCATATGCTTTATGATTGTTTTCAATTCATGTAGTTTTTTTAGATTCATAGAATTTTAAAGCTGAGAAAGTGGCATTAGATCATATGACAACACACTTAATTACACCATCCTTATCCTCTTGTTTTACACACAATCTGAAATTAGAGAAGTGCAATTGGAGTCACTTAGTCAAGGAAAGTTGACAGCCAGTAAGTAGCAGGTCTAGGTTGCAAATCCAGATTACTGAACATCTTACCCTCCATTTCTAAGCCAACCCATTGTCCATCTCCTTCCTTCTAAGTCTGGAGATTATTTGCACTGCAGTTGGCATCTGTCCCCTCTTATCTGCTAACTTAGCAGTCCTAGCAGCAACAGCAGCACACCACGTACACAAACGAATATGTTAACATGTTAATAGTGGCATGTAGGATTTTTTCCTTTTTTCCATTTTCTGTTTTGTTTAGTTTTGTTTTTGCAATTAACAAATACTTAATTTTTTTTTAAAAACTGGATAGGGAATCATGCTTGGTAAAATCTTTTCTCAGTAAATTCGTACTAAGTTTTTCATACGTGTTTGCAAAGCATATATTTACTAATCTTGCCTTTAGCTTGATAAACTGTTAGGTCTACAAGTCTAGGGCATTAAATTTTTACTTTATACCCTTTTTAGAAACCAAAACTAGGGCAACCCAACTGAAGTCTTTTAGGCTTCTTTCATTCTCTGCTCGTTTGCAAGCAGCATGATATAATTATTTTTTGTTTGGTAATTTTATTTTTCTTTTGTGTGTACCTTTTGAATTTTTGAGATACTATTTAACTATATATATATATTTTTTGGTACTAGGAATTGAACTCAGGACCTCACGCTTGCCAGGCAGGCACTTGTGCCGCTGAGTTATACCCCCGGCCCAACTATATGCTTTTCTACATGTGTAGCTGTTTAGTGGATTTTATATATATATATATATGTATACACATACATAAATATAGGGTGTCACTATGCAGTTCAGTCTGGCCTCGAGTTCACTATCTTGCCCAGTCTGGCAATGAACTCACAGCAATTCTCCTGCCTCTGCCTCCCGAGTGCTGGGATTACAGGCATGCAGCACCACACCCAGCCTGTTGAGTATTTTTAATCCTTCAGTCATGCTGAGGACCTCAAATGCTTTACCCCCAGCACTCCATAACGTTCATATTAAAAGTTGTCATAGCTCCCTTTTCCTTCGACCTGTGATCATTAGTACTATTTTCTTTGCAATTAAGAGTCAGTCATATTTATTGACCTCTTTGTGTCCATCTCTGTGTCCACTATCATTTCTTTAGGTCCTGTTCCTTTTATATTCCCATGCATGTTTTTTTCTTGATGAAGGATACCCTTTTCTAGTTCTTTTAGTAAGAATGTGATATAGTAAGCCTGTGCTTTTTATTTTGCCCTCATTTGGGAATGAATATAAAATCCTAGATTAATAATGATTTCTCCCAACCCCTCTGGCTATTTTTGGTGCTAATGAGACTTCTCTTGCCCAAATGTGGTTCCTTTGTAAATAATCTGGTTTATTGTCTAAGAGTTTTTAACATCTTTTATCATTGATGCTCTGTAGTTTTACTATGATGTGCCTGGGTTTGGATTTATTTTTATTTATCCTGTTAGGTACTTGGATCCAAGTCTGTCTTCAGATCTGGAAAATTCTCAGCAATTATCTCTTCAAATATTGCTCCTCTACCATTACCTCCATCCTCTTCTGGAATTGCTATTGGATGAATATTGGAACCTTTCAGCCCATCCTCCATATCTCTTAACTGCCCTTTTATATTTTTTTAATCTCTTTGTTTCTCTGTGCTGCATCCCTGGTGAGTTTCTCAGTATCTACCTTCCATTTCCAAATTCTTTCTGTAAAACAAACAGAAAACCCATAAAATCCCTTTTTGTGTTGTAAAATACAGGACACATACAGAAGAATGCACTGAATATCACTGTATAGCTTGTTATATCATTAGAAAGAGACTTGTGCCCCGGTCAGGAAATAGAATGCTGTCAACACCCAGGAACCCCTATATGCCACTCCTCATCATTCTCTTCCTTCTCCTCTGAGGTAAACACCGCCCTTCTCCTGTCAAGTGCTTCTTACTTACCTTGTCCTTCTAACACTTAAATGTGCAGAGTTTAGTTTTGCATGATTTTCATAGTTTATATATTAAAAATATAAGCTAGAATGTAAGAGGCCACATGCATGCATGTTTCAGTCTTACGTATTTGCTGTGGCTTGATTCACTCAACACTATATTTATGAGATTCATCTCTGTTGTTAAGTATAGCTGGTGTATCCGCCTTTCTCATTGCCATACATTAGTAATGATTCAATTGTTGGTGACATTTGAGTCACTTTTCATGTTTGGCTATTATGAGAAATGCCAATATGAACGTTTCTGTATGTATTCTCTGCAGTATGTATGTACACAGCTCTGTAGGAGCAGAATTTCCAGGTTGTAGACTATGTGTGTGTAACTTCGTGTAGATTCTACAAACCATTTTTCACAGTAGCTGTACAGTTCTGCTCTACCAGTAGTGTATGGCAACACCAATTTAGTCATCACTTCTTCATAGCCTAGACTTTATCCTATTACGTTTTTAAAAAATTTAATTCAATATTTTCACTTAAATGATTTTTATGTGGTTATTTTTCAGATCCACCTAATTTTGTTTTACTTTTTTCTTTTGATTTATAATTTAATGTTTATGTGTTTTTAATGAAAGTTTTTTTTTTTTGTTTGTTTTGGTTTTTTTTGGTACTGGGAATCAAACTCAGGACCTTGTGCTTGCCAGGTAGGCACTTGTGCCGCTGAGCTATATTCCCAGCCCCTGATGAGTGTCTTTTAATGGAAGTCATGCTTCAGTTTATCTCACTGAATACTTTCAGTCTACTTATTTTAAAGATGTGGTCAGACTGGAATGGACTCTTCTAGATGTTAAGTTTGTTGGCTGTTTTCTTTGTTGGTTTTTTTCTTTTTTTGGTACCGGGAATTGAACTCAGGACCTTTTCCTTGCCAGGCAAGTGCTTGTGCCACAGAGCTATATCCCCCACCCCTGTTGGCTGGCTTCTTACTGTAGATTTCTTCATGTATTTTACAAATTTTCTCTTATAGTCTCATCTTCTATTAACCCATATGCCCTTAGTCAGCCAGGAAGACAGTTGCTTGTTTTTC